CTTTTAACATTTTAGCGTTAGTTTATGTCTGTAATGCCTCTGGTCTATACTGCCTCTGGCTTTGTGTTTATAATGTCTCTGGTTCGTTGTATTCAGGTGCAAAAAGCATTTCATAAATGAATTATTGCAGTACCTTTCAAGTGCACCACATTCAGAGCAATAAGTGGTGCGTCATTCTTAACATGAGTAATTTCACACAAGCAAATGAAACTACAGTTGGTCAGCTGAGCGTCCTATTTTTGTTTGTATATGAGGTTTATTTTGCTCATGAAAAGCACTTTTACATTATTGTAATAAATGGCATGATGACTTGACGTAGTGTTAAAGTTAACATCAATTTAATCGCCTGTTTAATCCCTTCGCTTGCATGCACAGTGATGTTAGGAGCAACGGCAGTTCAATGGGAAATAAATTTTCAAATTCTCATGGTCTGTGATGCATTTTGCTGGGTATTATGGGCTTCTTCCTTACTGTTACTAGATTCACAAACTGTGCCACCAAACAAACTGCACTACGGGAGAAAACCAGCAGCAGCGTACTAGGGAGAATTGTTCATCTGTCAATGGCTTTCTGTCACTACATTGTTCACTGTAGTTTAGAGATCACTTTGCCGCCACTGCATTTATTTAGCACTGCAAAAACATCAGTTAAGTTGTGTGGAGAGTGAATTCACAGTTACCTAGCTACAGCATGTACTTTATAATGTAGCCAGGGGATCATTGCTTTACTTGGTGTACACTAATCCAGTGTTCCTCCCAATTTCTGAGAAATGGTCAAGGCGGAAAATAACAAAATGTTGGTCAAGGTACGCAGTTCTTATATTCACTGGTACAATTTAAAAGACCGCAGTTTATACACAACATTGTGAAGCACCGCAAACAACCTGACACGGCCCGTGGGTCAGCTGCTGCACAGAGCACAGTAATTCCTTTCATCTTCGTCCGCATCGTGGCGCCACTGGCTCACTGCATGTTTCCTATATCATGTTGCTGACTATGTTGGGAGAAAGCTTGTATTTGTAATAATTGCGATCAGTGTAAGAACACCTGTCTCATACCTGCTAAGTCTCTCGGATTAGCTGGGAGACTCCCGGATTTGGACTGTTTTTTCCGGTTGTATGGTTGTCATGAAAATCTCCCGGAAATCATTTGCTGTGCGTGATCTGGCCGCATTGACAAAAAAGCTGCTCAATCTGCTCCAGGCTTATCGAACCTATATACCCCATTTTATTATACATGAGTTTAAGAAGCGTTTATGTAAACATACAGTATAATCAGTGATGAGAAGCCGCTGCAGATACAAATTATTGAAATTCCCCAGCCAAATTTTACTATGTACATTAGGCCTCAATTAGAATGTTCCGAATACATTCTCTAATCGCAGTGGGTGATACGAACTTTAGTACGGAAACCATCGAACGAAGGCCGAGAGCAGCATACTCGAAGCTTCGGAAGTACGCGAGTGACTGGCGCACGCATTGTCTTCTACAGTGCGTGTGATTGTCGTTGCCACAACCGTTGTGGAAGAAATCGCGGTCGCTCTTGACACAGTCATGTGTGGCGACGACATAACTGACAGAACCCCGAAAGTGTGCGCTCAACCAGCCAAAGCAACGCTGCTTTCCGCAAACTCTGTGGACAAAACTGCGGCAGATGCTATCTTAGATAGCATAAAACGGCTTAGTTTTGAAGATGCGTGCACAGCCAAATGCATGGGGATTGTAAAATGAACGCAACCGCCGCGCACAAAATCGTGGTCCCGGCATGCGATAGTGATCTACGAGCCCCGAGGGCACGCAGCAGTAGGTGTAAGGCAGTAAATATGTGAAAAACAAAAAAGTTACAGTTTCATCGCAAGGACGAAGCAATAAATGTGGCAGCAACTTGGAATGTAACGCTGAGAACGGCAAGCAGATCAAAACATGCAGCACGCTGCTCCCACTCAAATGACACACGAAAACGATACTTGCGGAACGAGAGCGAACTAACAACGTTTACCGCCCGACAAATAACACGCTGTTTAAACCAAAACGATGCACGATACGTAATCACAGGTACAGATGAGTACAAACTAACAAGTGCCCCAGTTGTAATACATCGCTGTGTATGAAAAGCTCACTGTTTTCGCAAAAGAGGCTTGTGCAGAGACCAAAGTGACCTTTGTGGGCCACGATTCTCCCGCCACAGGATGAGCGTTGCGCACAACCATCTACCCCCCTCCCTTCACGGGGCAAAGTACACGTGAGGGATAAGCACGCATCGGCGCATCGCGATGAGCTCGGCGCCGAGCGTGGGTGGCTTATTTTTTGTGAGTGTTCATATATATAGATACGTATACATATACGGAGAAGGACGGCGGCGATGGCGACGGCAAAGAAAAAAAAAGAGAGCCTGGACTGGTCATATAAAATAAAAATGGGCCAGACGTGTTTCGGCATTCCTGTTTAAAGAATCTAGTAGTGAGCAAAGCTTTGACCCGCACTTCTGCGACAGCCAGCTGCGCTGTCTCGTCCGTTCACGTGTGTCGCAGGAAGACACACGCAAGTTGTTTTGACCGAAATAAATTTTGCTAGTTTGTGGATCCTTTGAGACTCTCACCTTAGTGAAAAACTCTACCCTTGTGTGTTCAGCCACTCCTAGCCACTATAAGACAGCAACGCTGATGTTGGCGCTTGCGAATTAGACCTCCCTCCCACCCCCTTTTGTTTTTTACGATGGCCCCTCCCACGATCGCGAAAATCTCCCGGATTCAGAATCTTTGAAGTTGGCAGGTATGCTGTCTTGTATCCAGTGTTGGCGGTAACATGGTAGCTTGCTGCAATGTCAGCGTTGTTAACTGGAGAGTTTGCCGCCGAGCTTGAAAAGTATGTCCTAGCATCGATGCTATGGTGCACTTTGCATTATCTTCTAGGCGAGATCACTGCTGATGCCACTGTCACGTTAGAAAAAGGGTTGCGAAACAAGAAAGCTGCGATACGCTTTTATGGCGTGCGTGCGGACAGCTTGCTAAATATACTCAACCACCGAAGAAGAATGAAGTGCAACAAAGAAGCTATTTCCAAACGGTGTATGTCGATTGCGTGTATGGTAATTGCAAAATATAAAGATATTTAACTTTTTCACTTGCATTACTGCATTTTGCGCTCATCTGGAAAAAGTTGTGGTAAATTTCGCCCAGCATAATGTAAATCTTCTGAATTTCTTTGATTTTTTGGAAAAAAAATGTGTTCTTTATGTTAGTATACATTCAAACCTTGATATAAAAAACCCGGATATAAATAAATATCAGTTATAATGAGGTAAATAAAGAATAGTCTTGCAATAGGTGTAGTGTTGGAATATACCTGGCATAACAAATTTTTTTACATAGCAAACATTTGTAAGGTGTAACTTTTTTATAACAAATTTAAAGTGTATACAATAATTTATCTTCACATATTACAATAGCCTGTGGTTTATACTGAACTTGTAAATCCAAAGAAAAGTAATCGCTCACCAAGGTGTGTTCATCTCTCCAGCCTTCCACTCCCAAGATGAGGTGTGCATCTCTCCATGCAGGATCTAATGGTACTAGGCCTGTCATTCAGCATAACAGTCACTTGAAGCAGCGCATCTTCTATTTCTTCTATGCCTGTTGCATCATGCCAGTTTCCATTGCTCCGCACTTAGCGGTCTGTTTCTCCGAGTGACAGCGTAGTGGTGTCAGGTTATTAAGTATGCCATTGACTTCAATGACAAAAATCTGTGGCCAGGCTTTACCAAAAAAAGCCGATGACACAGAAGTTCTTAAAGCTTTAAAACTTGCCCATGACACGCGCACCTACAATGTGGACTGATACAAGCAGTTTAAGTTCATCCTGTTGTTTGTTTATTTGTTGTGTAATATTTATTACTCTTTAATATTTGCCTTTTGAATATATAAAATTGCTCTGTTTCGTTTTACTACTTTTACCTGTGCATTCCAGTCATATTTTGATCGTGATTAATTGTGTCGTCTGCACGGCACTTTCCTACGAGCTCGGATTAAACTAAAATGGTAAGACACACACCTTTAGGACGCTCTTATTTGTGATACGCTATCATGAACAAACAATCACCAAATACGAGTGAACAATATATCTCATAAAATCAGAACAGCGAGTGGCTGCAGAGCATTCTCCCATATCAGTCAAACAATCTACTTGGATTTAGGTGCAGGTTAAAGAATCCCAAGTTGTCAAAATTTTCGAAGCCTCTCATAATCACATGGTGGTTTTGGCACTTTTAAACCCAGATATTACTATTATTAGTTGTTAATGATTCCTAAAAGTAAAAATGGAATGTAGCACAAAGCATGGACAAAAGAAGGAAGCGCCGGCACAGGCGCTTGTTATGCCTGTGTTGTTTTTCTCTTCTTTTGTATCTGTTTTGCACTCCGCCCCATTCTCCCATTTCAGGCGAACCTATAATGTTATGTATACAGAGCATCACAGAGTGTCACTAGAGCATCATAAAAAAAAAAGAAAAAAAAAGAGAGAAATGATTTGTGATGCTTTTCATTCTTCTGCATTTGCCAATGGGCAGCTAACCTGCTTTACAAATACAAATGTAATACATTATAAATTTGTGAAGCAAAACCTGTAGTCTGGGGAAACATGATTGAATTAAATCTGATCATTCTGCTCTGTACAATTGTATAATCAAGGAATGTTTTATATGTTAATATTGCAGTCAACTGATACGTTGTGTCTCTGCTGTAGCCTCACTGTATGAAGATTTGACACTATTTGAGTCAAAAATTAGTCACAGAGTCAGGTTGTGCCTGCGCTGGGGGAAAGCACACATTCTTTCTCACATACATGCATAACAGACTAAGTTCTATTTGTCTGCTGTTTTAGCAACGGAGGTCAAAGCGTCTTTTTCATGTTCACAATGCTCAACTTGTCTTTCATACAAGAAATGTACTGTCGCACCAATGTCGGACCACTTTTGTTATGGAATGAAGTGTTTTTTTTTAATCAGGTATCGAGAAGATATCCTTGGGCCTGGCCTGGTTGGTGGCTACTGTCGGCTAGACAAGGACTCCCTACGCCTTCAAGGAGACCGCAAGAGTCCATTACAGTCGTGGTAAGTACTCTAGCGCGAAAAGCCCATGTCACGTATCCTGGGAGCGCTTGCGAAAGATTAGGATTGCGAGAGAGACGGGAGATTGTAGTGGCATGCCAAACAGACTTAATCTATGAATACTGCAAACAGTCAACAACCGCTCGATAGTTCACAAAAAAAAAAAAAACATGCCGACGATAATCTTGTATATGTCCAAAATGGAACTACCGTATTTACTCGCGTAGTCCTCGCACTCGCATAATTCTCGCACTCCCCACATCACCCCAACAAAAATACGATTCTTTTCCTCGAGTGATTATCGCACCCCCGAAAACTGTCGCAATAATGTCGTCTGCTCGATCCAGCCTCTGATAATGATAATGCATGCTACATGGTGCCATCTTTTAAGCATCAGCCGTACTAATATTGCATGAAGATTTAATCCAATCCAAGCCAAGTCAAAGCGGCAAGTGAGTGTTGTGGCGTGTTTTGTATGTTGTGTCGGTAATCTTGTCACGTTATGGGGCGATACTGAAGCTACACGGCTGCTTTCAAGTTGAAAGTGATTGATTGTGCACTAAACATTGGCAACAGGGCCGCCGGTAGGCCCTTCGCAGTCGACGAGTTTCGTGTTCACTGCTGGTGACGGCAGCTGAAAGCCACGAAGACGCGATGGTCCTGCCGTGTGATTAAGACTGAGATTGATGGTAAACTTTATTTCTTCAGAAGGAAACTGCGGACGATCCTGTTAAATAATCATCAGCCCAATACTGACATGCTATGCTTACCTTTTGAGGGCTCCTGTTGAGCAACGGACGCTTCTGCTACGCCCGCAACGCACACAAGCTTTGCATATGGTATTCTAATTCTTGACTATTTGGTCGCACCTTTTGTGTCTCGAATAAATCTTGCTTTATGTTGAACCTCTGCTTTTATTGTGGAAGTCGATATTAATTAGTACTTCTCAAAGCTTGCTGTTACTTTCTTGTGTGAGAATCCTGATTTGCGGCCGCTTCACTTCTCTTTCTTTTTCGCTCTGTACGTTTTCGTGGAAAGTTTTCGCCGCGTAATTCTCGCACCCCACAACTTTGCACCCGTTTTTTGCCAAAAAAAAGTGCAAGGATTATGCGAGTAAATACGGTAACTCAAATTCATGTTAGTCAACTCTAGCCTTAAACCAGTCAGTAGACGCTGTGTCTTCTCAGGGATTACATTAGATATGTCACGTGCCCTAATTGAACGTATTGTTACATAAAGATGACACGATGCGTGTCTATTTAAAATCTATATTCAAACTGATGCGTATGGCGTCGACTAAGATGGAGGACAGCACGCACAACCGCCAGACCACTTCCTCGTTGTCGTCTTCTGACCCCCATATGTCAGCTACGTGGCATTACCCCCCCCCCCCCCCGGCGGTAAAAGGGCCATCTCAGTGCACATTAACTGCGGTCTTCAGTAGGCAGGTGGTAAGGTTTTAGCGTGCTGACATGCACAACATCCCTGGGTGTGGTTGCAGGCAGGCTTGTGGTCCCAGATGCAGGAATGATCTCATAGGTTACGTCGGTTACCTAGTGGATGATACGGTGAGGACCCATGTAGCGAGACAACAACTTCTCTGATAAGCCAACTCGACGAACTGGGCACCACAGGAGAACAAGAGAACCGGGTGAGAAGTGAACGTCAGCATGCCGGCTGTCGTAGATGGCTTTCTGGGTGACTTGCGAAGTCGAAAGTCTAGAGCGGGTGATCTGACGTGCGTGGTCGGCACGAGCAATAGCGTCGCGTGCATATTCGGTTGACGGTGTTGTAGTGATTGGAAGTAGGGTGTCAAGTGGTAACGTCGGATTGCGGCCATAAAGCAAATAAAAGGGTGAATAACCAGTGGTGTCGTGGCGCGAAGAATTGTACGCGAAGGTCACGTGAGGTAGCGCCAGGTCCCAGTCAGGGATGTCGGAGGACACATACATTGCGAGCATGTCCGTGAGGGTCCGATTTATCCGTTCGGTAAGGCCATTTGTTTGGGGATGGTAGGAAGTGGTCAGCTTGTGGTGCGTCGAGGAAGAGCGCAGAAGATCGTCGATTACATGGGACAAAAATGCGCGGCCGCGATCCGTGAGTAATTGGGGAGGAGCGCCATGGTGCAGGATGACGTCGTGGAGCAAAAAGTCCGCAACGTCAGTAGCGGTGCTGGTGGGGAGCGCTCGAGTGATGGCATACCTAGTCGCGTAGTCTATAGCAACGGCGACCCACTTGTTGCCCGATTTCGACTCGGGAAAAGGACCGAAAAGATCTATACCAACACGGAAGAAAGGTTCGGTTGGGATGGAGATCGGTTGAAGAAGTCCAGCTGGGGGCGCAGTAGGTCGCTTCCTACGTTGGCATTTATCGCAGGAGGACATGTAATGGCGAACGGACCGGGCGAGACAGCGTCAAAAGAAGCGGCGACGCACGCGGTCGTACGTCCGAGATACACCCAGATGACCAGCAGTTAGTTCATCGTGAAGCTCGCGCAGCACGGTTGAACGCAAATTTTTCAGCACGACAAGAAGGAGCTCAGGGCCATCTGGCTGGAGGCTACGACGGTACAGCGTGCCATTCAGGAGGACGTACATGCGAAGTGACGTGTCGTTCGGAGCAGATTTCAGATGGTCAATAAATTGTCGCAGAGAAGCATCACGACGTTGCTCATCACCAATATGAAGAAACTGAGACTTTTACATGACGCTGAGGCTAGGCTCGATGTCTGGTTCGTCGGGCTTATTAACAGGGTAGCGGGATAAGCAATCGGCGTCCAGATGAAGACGTCCAGACTTATAAGCAACCGAGTAGGAATACTCCTGTAGGCGTAATGCCCAACGACCAAGTCGTCCAGTGGGGTCCTTCAGATAAGAATGCCAACGCAGCGCGTGATGATCTGTGATGACACGGAAAGGGCGGCTATACAAGTAAGGACGGAATTTCGAAACCGCCCAAACAAGGACGAGACACTCCCGTTCTGTTACAGAATAATTGCGTTCAGACTTAGAAAGCAGACGGCTTGCGTACGCGATTACACGGTCGTTGCCCCGCTGAATTTGCGCCATAACTGCACCAATTTCGTGAGCACTCGCATCTGTTCGCACTTCTGTAGGAGCATCGGGGTCGAAATGTGCAAGAATAGGAGTTGTCGTTAGAGCGGTGATTAGCTGAGAAAAGGCGTCAGCTGGAGGAGGGCTCAACAAAATAGGACGTCTTGTTTGACAAGGTCGGTAAGTGGCCGTGCGAGTGCCGCAAAGTTTTTCACGAACCGGTGAAAGTAGGAGCAGAGGCCCACAAAACTGCGAACATCATGGACAGAGCGTGGGACTGGGAAGTGTGTTACAGCACGTACTTTCGCCGGGTCTGGCCGTACTCCGGCAGCGTCAACAAGGTGACCCAATACGATAATCTGACGAAGACCGAAGTGGCACTTGGAGGAATCGAGCTGCAGGCCGGCCCGTCGAAATATGGATAGAATGGTCGAAAGGTGTTCAAGGTGGGTTTCTAAGGTAGGTAAGAAAATGATCACGTCGTCCAGGTAACACAAACATGTCGAACATTTAAATCCTTGTAGGAGCGTGTCCATCATTTTCTCTAAGGTCGCTGGAGCGTTGCAGAGACCGAATGGCATGACCTTGAATTGGTAAAGACCGTCAGGGGTAACGAAGGCGGTCTTTTCTCGGTCCATGTCATCTACAGCGATTTGCCAGTAGCCAGATCGGAGGTCGAGAGATGAAAAGAAGGTGACAGCCATAGAGGCAATCAAGGGCATCGTCAATGTGTGGTAGAGGGTACACGTCTTTTTTGGTAATTTTGTTGAGGTGCCGATAATCAAAGCAGAAACGCCATGAGCCGTCTTTCTTTTTTACTAATACCACGGGAGATGCCCAAGGGCTCGTTGATGGTTCGATTACGTTTTTCGTAAGCATTTTGGCCACTTCTTTCTGAATCACTTCTCGCTCGGACGCTGACACGCAATACGGCCGACGGTGAATGGGCGCAGAGTCACCAGTGTTGATTCGGTGAGTGACAATTTTAGTCTGGCCTGAGGGACGATCGTCGGTGTCGAAAATGTCACTGTATGAGGCCAAAACTTGGCAGAGAGCGTCGGCCTGGTGAGGCGACAGCTCCGATCCAATCATGTTCCGAAAAATACCATTGTCTGAGCTGGGTGACCGTGAGACTGCGCTGCGATCAAGAGCAGATACAGCGACAACACTGACACCGTCCTCTGTTATGGCAGTTATCTGGGCTAGAGACATCTGGCAGGGCAACACTTGAGGGGTGAAACCAAAGTTAAGGAGCAAAAGTAACACACAGTTATCCGCTATGGTCGCGATGGTATAGGGCACAGTAACACTGCGCGTCAGCCGAACGTCAGTAGTTGGCGTAACGATATAATCACCGTCGGGAACAGGAGGGGTCGATGACAAAGACACGTACGTGACGGCTCGAGGTGGCAGGTGAACGCAAGTGGTTGGGCTCAAGCGGCTGGTGGGCTTTGCAGAGTAGTCGGCAAAGATTGGAAGATCAAGGCTGAGGGTACCAGACGAACAATCAGTTAATGCCGAGTGTGCCAAAAGGAAATTAAGGCCAAGTATGAGGTCATGAGGGCAGCAGGCTAGCACAGCAAAAAGGACCACGGCGTGACGACCGGCAATGCTGACACGAGCAGTGCACATTCCGAATACTGGTACAGTACCGCCATCGGCAACATGTATTGCCTGCGTCGTAGATGGCGTCATAATCTTTTGTAAGCGGCAGCGTAGAGAAGCGCTCATAATAGACAGATGTGCACCTGTGTCAATGAGGGCGGTCACAGAAACATGGTCGACTTGTACTTCAAGCAGGCTGTGGTGCGTGGGAAGCGTCAGTAGAGGATTTTCGGCCGTTATTGGTATTGCAGCTTCACCTCTATAAGCTGGAATATCTAGTTTTCCTGCTGCGGTCGTCCAGAGAAGCTCGGCAAGGAAAAGCGCCGAGGTGGCGGAGAGCGGGAT